GAAACGATAAACTTTATATTAATAAATACTTGAATTACATACTTGGAAACAGTCGGAAATATCCGCATCAATCTAGATCGAATTCAGGAGGTATGCTCAAAGATAACTTAGAGCCACGAAAAATAAAATACAAATAAATAAAATCTGATTATTTAGGACAGAAAAAATTAAACCTGATTAAATCAAATCTATACTTATATAATAAGAATTAACCTTTTTCAAAATTAGTAGGTCAATTCTTAGTCAACATCCTGTCTGCATTAAATATTTACTAAAATTAGTAATTTTTATGTCCTTTTCACACTTTTTTTTTAATGTCTTTTTCACACTAGATTATATAAATGAACGGATATTATTTCACCTTTCATTAATCTCACCTATAATTCATGTGAATTGATTGATTGCCTTTAACTTTTCAAAACGTGTGTTATCCATTGTTTATTACTATTATTATTATAGTATGCACGTAATCAGTTGATTAAATAAATTATATATTATTATTATTATACTCACCACGTGACAGTTAATTAAAATATATCTATACTTATATTAAAAGGTATACCATTTACCAGATTTAATATAAAGAAAAGTCAACAACATTTATTGCATTACTATTTCCGTATTATACAATCTATACTTATATAAAAAGAGATTCTATTTACTATATTTACTATCCAGAAAAGTCAACTGCATTAAATGTCATTACTATTTTGGTATTATAATATTTTATTTATTTAATTGTTTTATTTATTTGTTTTATTTTTAAAAAGGTAAGTATAATAAAAAGATTTTAATAATAAAAAAATCAAATACTAAATAAAAATGTACACTTTGACTTATTTTATTATATTTGGTATTTGATTATACCAAATATATTCCTATTTAGTATATACATTAAATACTTACTAAAGTATTTATCTGTTTTATTTGTCAAAGTTAAGTATAGATTTGTTTATATTATCAAATCATAAAAAAATATTAAATTCATATTGTAAAAAAAATCATATAATTTTATAACAATTCTACTACACTATTTAACAATATTTTTTTTATTATATAATAAAATAATAATTAAATATTATATGGTGAACAACAATAAGTAAAACTGTTACTTTCTCTTATATCAAGGGATAAATTTATATGCTAAAATTAAATTTTTATTAGTATAAATGTTTTAGTGAGATAATATATTAATTATTTTACAAGCTAGCCCTAACATGCTCATATTTAATGTTTTAAAAGATGTAGAAAAAAAAACTTAGAATAACTCTATTGTTTTTTAGACTTAAACGTTGATTAAAAGAGGTAAAAATTTCTAATTTTTTAGACTTAAACGTTGATTAACACCATAGATTGAGAGTTTATATTTAGTAAAATTCCTAATTGTAATAAAAAAATTAATTTTTGCTATATTTTAGAATATCTTTAAATTCATTATATATATATATATAAAAAAAAACTACAATGAAAAAAGCAAGTCAGCTATATATCGATTTGTTGTACTCCTCAAATCACATTCACAATTTGGCTACAAGGAAAGGAAACTCATTGATTAAAATATTATTTTGTCAGTAGTCTTAATGTACAAGAGACTTTAAGACTCCACTTGAATATTATAAAACTTTTATTGAACATTGTACAATTTCTTGCGTATTATAAACTTTTATTGAATATTGCATCTTATAATATAATATTCTCCAAATAAATATATCTCGTGCTTCGCACGTACTATATATATCCCGTACATTTTTCTTTATTCATGTATATAATTATAAGTCTGGATAAATAGCCTTAAAATTGTGCACCCCGTGCATCGCACGGGCTCTGTACTAGTAATATTGAAATGTTTCCTATATAATTCTTGTAAAAGACAATTATGACTCTAACTCGACCGCTTTTTGAATTAAATTCTCTTTTCCTTTCCAAATTTAGTCCTGATATGTTCTCGCACCTCGAACCGGCTTTTCATGAGCCCTCGACCGATTATTTCCTTGGAGACTAGCAAAGACGTCGCCTATCGTTAAACCTCTGACGACCAAGTGAGTAAGTATGTTATGAAAAGATATATGAAAAGTGCACTGTAAATTTTACAGTATAGAGTGTGATTAACATTTTTTCTTTTCCATATCTTACCTATTTATCGTGAGTTATTGGCTTCTTGGGCAAGAACTGCGCTACCTGGCTGCCCGAAGACCTGCCCGAGTGACCAAACTGCTCGAGAGCTTGCCCGACTGTAGCGTGATTTTAAATTAGTTGGCCTTTGACTAATGAATTACACTAGTATATCTTAGATGTATTGGACGGACCAACGGAGAATAGGATTATTTTATATTGAACAAGTAAATAATCTAGTCCTCGGTAGTTGATGCAGTCTCTTAACCTGTAACACAATATAGGCGGGCATATGTATTCGACACTTATTTATTCGATTTATTATTGATGATACTTATTCTGGTAAGTCAACAAACACCGTATTTTGGTAAATATTGTCGAGTGCATGATGTGCCGTAGATTTGTTTACGGTCATCGTGTTCCAGTCCGCCGGATTGATGACGTCCCTAAAATAAGATCAAGAAGGATTATTATGTTATGCTCTGCAGGCAGATTAATTTTCGACATAATAATAAAGAACTCAGTGGTACTAGTTTCGGATATAAAAGTTAATTAATTATATTGTCAGTAATTATATTAATCATCAAAAGTTGGATCTTAAACATAGAGAGATAAATCGAGCAATTAGCCGGGAGATGAGTTATTTGTAAGTTTGGGGGGCTAAATATGGAGTTTAATAATATTATTATAATGGAATTAAATATTATTTAATTATGTGTGGAGTCGGCCAGGCCTTCAAGATCAAGAAATTTGTGTGAGCAAAGAGAGGGAGATTTAATTATGTGTGAGGTTTAATTAAATACCACTATAATTAAATCTCCCTCTCTTCTTCTTGATCAAGAAACCGATCCCAATCGAGAGAAAAGAGAGGGAGACAAAATCATGTGATTTTGTGTGAGGTTCGTGAGATTTGACAAGTTGTCCACCAAGAAAAGTCAGAGTAGGTGATTGGTTACACAATAGAAGATCATAAGGTCTTGATTCTGCATCCCCGATGCTCATCCGACGACCACCAAACTTGGCATGCCCAACCACTGGCGACCGCCGCACGTGGCAGCACCACCGACGGTGCCAGACACACACCGGCGATGCAAGGCGGTGGTGGCCACCAGCTGCAAACGACACCAGGGGATTGTACATGCAGCAAGTGTGAATCCCCACGACGCAGTAGACGACAATTCGTCGCGACCAAGCCCCCTCGACAACTCCACGACAACGTTCAGTGATTCTCGACGACTAAATTTTAAAACGTAAGTCATCAATCCTAACTATAGATTATGCTACATTAGAATTTAATTTAGTAGGATTTGGATGTGCACGTGGACCGACGTTCTTCATAGAACCCAACACCTAGAGACAGAACGTCGCACTAGCATTAAGTGGGTATTGAAGACTATGGAGAGCGGCCAGGACTTGGACTTCATCAGGGGGGTTTATGCCCGGAAGAGAGTTTGCCTTGACTTGACTTCCGACGAGGATAGCAAGCCAGACCAGGATGTCGAGGCGATCTTCAAGGAGGAGATTGGGGCACCTGTTCGTCCGTTGCCAATTTATCAACTAGATCCAAGTTCGGCTATAGTATTACTGATCTCTTCTAGTGGCACCACCACTTCAAGTAGAGAAAGGGCTTCGAGTCTCGAGGAATTACCTAGGGAGCGGTGAAGGCAAGGGAAGAAGACATAGATGTCAATCCTCTCGTGGACAAATGATTGGATTGTAATCACCTTAATAAAAGTTTATTTATGTATTTGGTCGATCGTGGCTTCAAATATAATTTGATGTGTTTTTAGGTGTTTAAATAGCAGAGGCTAAGTATGGTCGTAAAAATATTTTGAAGGAAGCTTTGTAGGACTTTTCTATTGTTTGAATGAAGACAAATGTGTTTTTTTCTTTAAATCTTTGAGAAGTCGTGAAATTTGAGTTTGGCCCAAATTGTTGATAATATGTTCTGATTGTAAGATGCGATGAAAGTTTGAAAAGAAAAGGTTAATTTTTTTCACTCATAAATTGGAAAGCCGCACTCGTCTCTCTAGGGGGCCACGCTGGCTCTTTCTTTTGTATATAAGTAGATAGTGGATGCTCTGGCTTAGTGGATTTGGCCATTGGTTTTCTTGTGAGGTTCATCCTCACTTCGGAGATGAAAGATGGTAAGATGATGATGGCCCCTTCGGGATCTTCGGAAGCATCAAGCTCGACTACAGCAAATCCTGTTGGTCAAGTGGTGGAAAATAGAAATTACGAAGTTTCCCAAGATGCTCTTTTTGATGCAGTGGGAGCAGAGGAAATGAGAGAGTGGGAAGAGCTCCGTAACTCCGGAGAAAGTTAAGAAAAGTTCCATCCCTAAGAATGAAGTGAAATCATAGATTACTCGACTCTTTATTGAAGGCTTGGTCTTGGCCTGGCTCCTGGGGCATTAACAACAACCCAACTTGGCGATCAAGATTTTGGATGGTCATGGTAAGAAAGAGTGACCGCCCGACAATTGCAAGTTAATCTCTGGGTTTGATGATTTCAAGACCTAAGGATGAGACCTGGAAAGAAATTGTACGGGATATTCTTTTCAGATCCATCTTTAGACCCCCGACTGTTTAGGAATCCATTGTTACTTTAGACCGACGACTCCCATCTCTCGAAATTCTTGTCGATGGTGAGTTAATCGATCTATATTTTTGTCTAAGGTGGGCTAAAGGTAGGATCCATAAGGGATTATGGATCTGAATTTTGTGTGATGAGATAAAGCGAAAATGTGATATTTAGAGGTGTTTCGGAAACTTGATGTGGGCAACATAACAATATGAAAAAGATGATCGGAGAGTGTCGTGCCGTCCTTTCAAACCAGAGCGTAAGAATACAAAAACATTATTAAACGAGGTCGTAGATGACAATTAGGCTTGAAAAAAAAAATAGTGTAGGGTATGGCTATTTATATGAAGAGATTAAGAGGCAACTCTTGATGACTGACCCTCCTTTAGCGCCATTTGTTGATGGTCAATCGTCAAATACTGTTAATTACGATTTATGGGATGGATTAATCACGAGTTTCCTTAAAGGAATAACGGTATAAACTCATATTAAGAAAATGAAGGAAAATATAAAGGCGGAAACATAGAGACACAAATTCTGTCGATCTATTGAGGCGATTAGCAAGGAGAATAAATGACTTCTCCGAGAAAGTGAATTATGCAGTGTATTGTATTGTTGATGTTCTACATGTCTTTTGATGGGCCTGAGGGGCCGAATTTATACACCAAAAAGGTGAAAGTGTAATAAATGTCAAAGGCGCGCTTGTTTATCAAATAATTCGTTCAAAATGAGTATTTTTGGTTAACCAGAGTTAATTTTAAAAAAAGTAGTATGATTAGTAGTTAGTGTGATTTTAAGAATGTATTAAAATAATATTTAAACAAAATAATTAAGATTGATTTGATATAAAAGTATGAGATAAATGATTTAAAACGATTGAAAATGATAGGTAGTTAAAATTATGTGAGTAGATGAATAGTAAATTAAAGTTGATGTGATGTGTAAGAATGATTGGTTTGTATTATTTAATTATATGAATAATATTGAGGATAGTGGGATTGAGTTAAAGTTGAGTTAGATTTTGAGTATGAATTAAATGTGAGTAAATTAATTTGTAAACAAGCATGTCTTAAGTGTCAGCTAGGGGGTGGTGACACACGTCTCCATGTAATATCTCGACTTTTGATGATGGGGTCGGTGGACGGTCACTTTATCAATATGCTGTATTAGTTACTCGTTCATATGAGGGGTGATCGTCTTCTTTCAGTAGGAAGATATGAGGATGGATCTACGCAGATCGTCGTCAAGATCTCTTGGGTCGTTATCTTCTACATATTTTAGGCCCAATTAGTGAAGGCCTTAATTAAGGACGGACCTACATGAGGTCACGGGCCCTCATCAATTTTTTAAAAAAATTATTATATATATATATATACATATAAAAAGAAAACACTACAAAATATTAATAAAAATGTAAAAAAAAAAATATAATATATAAATAATTATAACTTAATTATAGTGCTTTTTATATTTAAATTAATAATATTATCTATTTACTTAATAATATACTAATAGTACTTATATTTTACATTTCTAGATAAATTTTGAAAATATTCATAATGATTTATTCTTTTGACCTTTTAATTGCAAGTCAATTTAATGATTTATAAAACTTAGTATTTAGTTGGATTGTTAGATTTTTAATGTTGAATTTTTATTTTTTTTAATCACATATTTTTAACTTTATTTATTATATTTCTTAAAAGAATATGGTCATTTGATAGCTCTCATAAAAAAAAGGCCTTGCAATGTGCTGCAAAAGTTCAGTTTAAATCAAATTTTCAACAAAAAAAAAAACTTAATTTCTTTTCATAAATTATAGATATTAAACTTAGATTATAAATGTTGTAGCAAATTATTTTTTTATTTTACCGAGCACCGAATCGAATGATTCGTTTCCCGGGTCGATCTCCCGAGGAAGACGGTTCGGAATTTAGAAGTGGTATTGATAACACATAAAAGCAAAATAAATCCTTAACATTCTAATCATGATAGGGTTGGAGATTTATGAACTAAGAAATAACATAAAACGATAATCTGTCTAAAAATATAGACGACAAAAAGATAAACGAGCTAGGGTGTCGGGAATAATCGCTTCCGGTTCTACACACATTTAACGGCAATCAATAACTCGGTTAAAAGGCTCGACTAATTAACTCATTTAGCGGTTTAACCTCAATACATCTCCGAACATGCTGATAAACATAAATGAGCGAATTAACGAAACAATTAACACATAGACAATACGTCTCCGAACATGTCTACTCTAAACGAGCCAAATTCCACCAATTTCTCCCCTCTCGGTTTTGAAATCGATTATCTCTACGACTCCTCCCCTTTCGGTTCTAAAAGTCGCAATTCGTAGAATTAACAAACTCTGACTCAACAAATAAATATTCAATCACAAATCAAAGTGTCACTCTTTGATTATATCAACAAATTAACCTAAGTGTCACTCTTAGGTTATATTCATGCACATAATTAAACGAGAACAAACCGGAATGATTATCCCTTAACCCTAGCTAGAGGATTAGCAACTCATTGCACAAAAATTCACATCAAATAAATTCATAATCATCATTACAAACACAATGAAAAGGAAGAGAACTTACTAAAAATGTGAACTTCAATGCCAAGAACAAGTATAAAACAAAGTGCCAAAGTCTTGAAGAGTTTCTTCTCCACACTTGAAAAACCAAAGAAAACTTAAGAGAAAAAATGAGAAGAGAGAAAGGAGAAGAGGGGAGAACCCCCTTGAAGAAGGGATGATTTTCAAGTCTTGCACTTCACCCCCATTTTATACTCCTCATCATCCAACATTCAACCTCATTTTAGGGCATTACAAGCATAAGACAAGGTGTTAAATGCTTCACTTTCCCGACCATAGTGAAAATTCTCTCAAAATAGGCCTTAGTGCCTTAAATTGGGCAAGTAGTGGAGGAATCCAGGTCCTAGCGCCGCTAAGGGGGTGCTAGTGGCGCTAGGGGATGCTCGCTGGCCGCGACACGCTCCGCGGCCGCGACTTTCGCGCGCAGAAAAATCCTCACGGACTGCAGTGCGCGGCTTCACGTTTTGGGCTCGTTTGAGCTCGTCCGAACTCAGAATTGAGTTTCGTTTTTTTCTACATGTAGCCAACGAACCCTTCTATTCAATGATGCTTGAATAGCCAAATTATTCTTGAAATAATCCTATTCTTCAAAAGCTTATGACCAGCACACCAAAGACGTGTTTCGCACGACTTCGCATTTTTGGCCCGTTCGGATTCTTTCGAACTCGAAATTGGATTCCGCTTTTTCTTATGTGTAGCTAAGGAACTCATCTATCCAACCATGATTTCCCGACCCGTTTTCGAGCTAAATCGATTCCTCACGGAGATTACAACCTGCACACTAAAAACAAGAAGAAAAACGTAGAAAAACGACAAAATACACGGAAAACATATAAAAAGCCAAAATAGAACAAAACACACAATAAACTATAAAATAAACTAACAAATAGACCTAAAACGGGGAAAAATGAACGACAAAATAGTACAGAAAAACGTAACAAAAATGGTCACAACAATAAATACATGAAATCTCATTTTTTTGTTTAATTCTTCAAAACTTTGAAGGTGATATGGATTCTAAGTTTGTAAAAACTTGATAGCACACATATCGATATCTATATTTATAAGTAAACACATTTTTATATGAAATGAGTGTTTCGACGTAAATTACAAACTTGTTATTTTTAAAATCGGGCTCCCCTGAGTAAAATTCTTAGATCCGTCACTGACCTTAATGCCCCCGTATTTGGGCTCAAAGTGTTGGTCTATGGTGCGTGCGAATTTTATGTATAACAAAACATATTTTTGTGAGCATTATTTATTAATATTGTTTGGATGTTTAAATTTTAATGTTTCTTAATTATAAATAGGAATTCTAAAATGAAAGTTATTTATAACAAGTGAAATAGGTATCTAAATCATATATGCAGCTTTGAGTAATGCTATAGGTACATAATAATGTACATAGATATAGGGCCGGTAATTTTGTACCGAAAACCAAAAACCGAACCGAACCAAATCGCTTGTAACGGTAGCCGAAAATCGGTTACCGAAATGTTATCAGTTCGGTATCGGTTCCGAAACCTTAAGGATTCGGTAAAACCGAACCGAACCGATAAGGATAAAAAAAATAAAAAATACAAAACTTCGTAGACTTATAGATATAGTTACAGTTTACTTGTTTAGACATTAGTATTTTAATCTAGTATTTAATATTTTATTAGAGTATTCGTTAATAGTGATTACATTAGGCTCAGTTTTTTTTAATTTAATTCATTTATTTTTTTTAAAAAAATTATGTGGATTATAAANCCACAACAAACCCAACCAACCTTAAGTCACAATGGGAATCATTTTGTTGGTTTTTTTTTTCGGTTTTTTCTGTTCAAAGCCGAAACCGAACCGAGTTATCGGTAACTGAAAATTTATCATGAATGTTGAAACTTAATCAAGTTGCATTATTATTGGTAAATTCGTTTTTTTCGGTAAAAAATCGTTACCGAACTGAGCTTAATCAAATTGCATATTTATTGGTAAATTTTAGTTTTTTCGGTAGAAACCGTTACCGAACTGAGTTTTGGTAACCGAATTGTTACCGAAATAATCGGTACGGTATCGGTTTTCTCTTATCGGTTCGGTAATCGAACCGATACCAACCCTACATAGATATGTACATAACACTCACATTGAGTGGG